GACGGTTTCATAAAGCAGCTTTACAGAAATCCAAGTCTAAGCCCCTAATGAGCAAGTCAAGGGCAACAGTGTCATAAAAACTCCCTAAAAGCCTGAGGAAGAAACAGAGAGAATCCAAGACTCAAAAAAGGGAACACTTCCTCTGCAACCCATAAAGAGATGAGAGTCATGATTAAACAAATGAGAAAACAGAGGCAGATCATACAGGGGAGAAATCCAGAAGGTAAACCAGTATCTAATTTTAGAAGTCTATCAGAGACTGTGAGAAATAGATCTGGCGTATTCATGCGTTAAATATGTTGTCACTGTTGTTTCAAAACCTCATAATTCCTGTCACTAATGGAAAATGCCATCTATTCTTTACATTGTGTGGACATTTTATTACAAATGTATTGATAGAAACGGTCAATTTCCTGGAATAAAATCTCATTATATTAACTAATTTTAAAAATGAATGTTTTTCCTTCTCCTGTAAAGTTCTCATATTGTAGAAAAAGTATACCGCACTACAGTTTGGAAGGAAAGACATAAGGCAGGTGTACAATGTCACATATATATCAGGAAACAGTATACTTCCCATCATTCGTTTTGGCCATCTTGCTTCTGACTGTAAAATAAATCTGAATATGATATGCTGATTGAGTTTTTTGAACACTTGCAGAGGAAACAGGACACTAGAGCCCATGCTCCTCGTTTTCCTAAGCCCAAAGACGAAGGCTGGTTCATGGTGCTTGGAGAGGTGGAGAAGAAGGAGCTTCTGGCAGTCAAACGAGTAGGATATGTTCGCAACCGGAGCGTAGCATCTGTGGCCTTCTTCACACCTGAGCAGACCGGGAAGTAAGTTGCTTTACATGTCCTCAGACCTGCAGGGTCAAACTTTTTTTTTAATTACGTATCATCACAGCTATATGTTGCGTGAGGAACAAAGTGTAGCTCATTTAGCATTTAGCACAGAAAAGCAATAGCCAAATGGTTATCAACAAGTCAAGAAAGACAAATTCTCTGTAAGGTAATGTTTTTCTCTCCTGCAGGTGTATCTACACACTATATCTGATGAGCGATAGCTACCTGGGCTTGGATCAGCAGTATGACATCCACTTGAATGTGACTGCTGCCAGCATCTCTGCCTAGGTCAACACTGAGGTCTCTGATAGCATGAACAGCATGTTCTTTAAGTGACCTCCACCTGTTGGCGCTGGAACACACGTGTGGCTCTGGCACAGGCCAGTGCTCCTTGAAGACCTCTGACAACAGAGCAGCACAGGTGTGACCAGACTTGGGGTGGGCCAAGCAAAATGGCCTTAGAACTAAACTAATACAAAAGCTGCTGTGAGTTTGCTTGGTCTCAGAATGGAAAGATTTTTTATTTTGCCATTATGACACAAAAGGCATCATTCTTATTCATTTGTATGATACTGCTGGACCTGTTAATCAAAATCTGAATTTCAGCTTTGAGCACACTGTGAAGGCATGCATATGTGCATGAAGTGGGTGGGAGCAGACATGACGTCACTATTAGAGCAGAAAGGCTCTGGAGAGGATTTATTTGAGCAGGAGGTCAGGAATTCTGTGCAGGTGTGTAAAACATGCTCCTCTGTGAGTGACTGCTGCACTCTACCACTGCCAGACTGTCACATCTGTTTTGTGAAATTTCTCTCTCTCTGTCTCTGTCTCTCTCTCTCACTCTCTCTCTCTCTCTCTCTCTCTCTCTCTCTCTCTCTCTCTCTCTCTCTCTCTCTCTCTCAGTCATTCTCTCTCAGTGACATTCTCTCTCCATCCCTCTCCATTCCTGTCTCCTTCAACACCCTGCTGTGGAAAACCTCTGGGATATACAGGTGCCAAACTCATTCAACAGGGGTTTAGAATAAGTAATGGCTGAAATAATTTGTGCAAGAAAGCCTTAAATCATTTAAGAATGTTCTGACAAATGTTATATAGATGTACTATCAAGTTGATTGGTTCAGAGCTAAACTACCAAACATAGCTCATATTTCATTTCTTTTTTTTTTCTTTATAATTTAGGATGTTTTCATATTCCACAGATAACTGTCCCTTGAAATAATTTTGCTTGAGAAATAAAGGGATGTGAATGCAGTCGAATGTGTTTAATAGTCTTCTTTGACTTGTCCTATGCAGTGTTTTAGAATAATATATCATATAAAGGTGTTCATATGTTTTCCTTGCATTTTTATGCACAGAAAGGCCATCGCCCATATTTGTTGATAGGTTCTTTTGAAAATTGCTGGTAAATAGGCAGTGTGTGATTGTTAGTTTATTGCACAAATCTAAAAGATATTTACAGAAAAATATGTATAGCCCTGCACTGCTGTGCATCAGGTTTCTTATAATGAAATACCACAGATTTATATTAATTAGTGGTAGCGCTTTATATAGTTTATAATAGATGTTCTAGTATATATTCACTAAATTAATCAGTGTTATCCTTTTTTCCTTCCTGCTTTATTTTGATGGGCCTGTAGCTTATCTATTAACAATCTGGTGAAACCCAGTTGATTTTCAACAGTGTTAGAGTTGGGGAAAAGTTGAATTGAATAAATTGCATGTCAGTTAAGTAAAGGAAGCATCTGTAGCATCCACAATGATCATACAGTGATCATTAGTAGTCTTTTTTTAATAACTGAATATTCCATCTTTTACCTCTGCTTTGTGGATTTAATTATAACACAATGTATAACCATAAATAGCACGTGGATACACTGTATAACACGGAACAGCTTCCATAACTTAGTGACTTCACAAAATAATGGAGCATTTGAGCAAAGGTCCCTGGTTTTAAGTGTATTAGAAGCGTACCGCTTTCGTTCATTAATTCTTTCATTTATTTATTTATTTATTTGGCGTATTAGAGTTTGTTATTCAGTGACTCTCCGCAGTTGTGCGGTGTTGCTACTCTGTGATTCATTTAGTCTCCGCTTTTAGCTGAAGCTGTGGTGGTTCAGAGTCTCCTGCAGTTGTTAACTTTTCCCTAAAGAATCTCAGTATGCTCAGTGTCCATCACCTGCACACTGACCCGCATTTCCTTGACTGTAGGGCCGTCTGTGCGCTGTGACCAGTAATCATGAAGTCTCATACACACACACACACACACACACTCAGACCATAGCATTTTTCCGGACACAGGAACAGAAGAACTCTGCAACCTTTGTGGTGATGCTGTGGGTCAGCGCGCAAAGCCGCGCCCCCTGATTGTCGGAATAAAGGAACTGACCCTGATCTCTGAAACGCTCTCCAGTGTTTGTAGGTGAAACTCAGCTTTTTAATGCCGATGTTAGTTGTGAACTGCGCTGTTCTGTTATCTCGTACTCTGTGTTTTGGTGTCTCTCGGTAACAGATGCAAATGGCCGTTCCTCATTACGCTCAATTAAAGGCTGGAGTGGCAAAGCGCGCGGTAAAGTGTCGCCATCATCTAATTCCTGCGCCGCGCCGCCGCCAGTCTCTCTCCTCCAGACTTCATATTTTCGACTGTTTTCAGCTGTTCTCTTTTGCACCGGCGCGTTTAATTGCCAGTAAATTGGGGCTTTAGGAAAAGGTGAGGCAGCGCGGCCCGGCCGTGTGTCCGCCGCAGCCCGCCTCATTTCCCCCCTGCAGGTGATTTCCTAGCGCAGGGGCATCCGTATCGAAAGCAGCCCGAAGACAAAGCCCTTCAGCAGCGCGCAGCGGAGGAGGAGGAGGAGGGGAGACTGCAATTTGTTCACCTAATCACTGCTTCTGCGCTCTTCTCCTCAAATAAGACCGCTGCTAACACGAACAGAATGCACAAATTAAATACGGCGCGGATTCCCTTCGACTTACCCGCCTTAAAGCGCTCGCCAAAAAACCTTTACCAAACGTTCAGTTTCTGTGCGCTAGAGGTCTGAATAAAGTTTGTCTTTTGCGGATATTAATTTAAGGATGTTATACATTTCCTGCATGGTATAGTTTATAAATCTATTTGTTAACATAAATGCCATATTTAAGTGTGTTCTCTCTAAAAGATGTATTAACTTATTTTCACTTAGAAAATCGACACAACTTGCCAGGGGTACTCAAACTTTTGCTTTTGCGCATACGACTGTTTGTTTATATATATAAATATATATATATATATATATATATATATATATATATATATATATATATATATATATATACATAAAATGTGTGTGTTTTATATGTACGTGTGTGTGTGATTATAAATATATATCAAATAGTGTATTTTTTATTTACTTTTATATAATATTAAATTCGGTCACTGTTTTTCTGCTTTTTGAATGAATACGCTTTACGCTGGTGTGTATTTGTTGTATTATTTGTATGTATTTGTTATTTTAATTTTAAGAACGATTAACCCGCTTTTTTTATGAGCTAAAAAAACATTGTTTCAAAAAGATGACTACATTTGTCTTTACTGGCTAAAATTAAGGCAAATTTATTGATAAAGCCCTACGAATTATTTTTTTTTTTCCCACGTTTTAAACAAATAAACAAACAAACAAACAAACAGGCGCTGGAAAAGCCATCAGCGCACTAAAGGTTCTAAAGTGAATGACAGAAATCAGCAGCACGTCGCGACCTTCAGGGTCCCTCACTGCTGCAGACGTTCTCCTCTAGATCTGATGTCGACGCTTCTGAGGTGACCATTAGCGTAAGAGCGCGCGCCTAAATATTAGACGCAAATGTATTTCGGCGCAGAGGTGAGGAGTTCGCCTTTCACACAAACCCACATTTCAGTTCCAGCGCTCACATCTGAACGCTCACTGGGGACTGGCACTTTCTTTTTTCCCCCACCTGTTTTCAGACAGGCCCCGCCCTCTTCGCTCGGCTTAGCCCTGATTGGGCGGACTGCTTTTGAGTTTGAGCTGTTGGCCAATCGTAGCGCAGAGAGGCGAAACAATACGCGCCAATCCCAGTGAAGTGGGCGGAGCCTGACAGAATACAGGTAGGAAAACAAAAACAAGGCCGTGTTTGCCCAATAAGAGCAGGACTTGGTGGGAGAGAAACAGGGGGCGGACCGCTCAGCAGAAACGGGCTGGAGAGTTTGGGGCAGTGAACGGCACGAAACTCTCTCTCTCTCTCTTACACACACTCGCGTTCCTCCAACAGACATTTGTGGATAAAATGTTGCCCTTTTTTTCGGCTTTTGTCTTGGAATTGTGTGCCGTGAAACAGGAGTGTGGATATTCCGTGTTGTGGGATGGTCTGCCCAGGAGGAGGAAATGAAAGTTTGACTTGGAAGGAAAGGTGAAGTTTTTTTTCACTCTGTAAAACTGTTGATATATTGAGGTTATTTTTTGCAGATTAGACAGTTATTGTGTTTTTTTGACTGTTTTATAAATGTTTTCTAGTAGTGTCCTCTCAGTAAACACGTCCATTGGTCTGTGTAAGTTAGAGCAGTGGACTAGTGAAGGCTAATGAGTAACTAACTCACTGCTGTAATATCTGTTGTCTTCTTTATTCTTACGCTAAATTCTTCTAGGGCTATGCTGGAATGTACGTCCTGAAATGACACTCTGGGCTTGTTTTCTCGTTTCAGGTCTGTGTTGTTTCTCTGAGGATGGATGTTTTCCCCATATGAAGCAGCACTGGGCCTGAGTGGACTTGCCGCTAAGTGAAGAAGTGAGCTTCCCGCAGCGGATGAAGATCCTTAAACACTGCGGTTTTCCTCCGCTATGAGGTTTCAGTGTCGCTCTGTGTTTAATATTGGTCGTTTTCAGAGTGGCTGGGTGTTTGTTGGAGGGCGCTGGAGGATGTGTGAGCTGCGTGATCAGCAGTGAAGGGCGCCGGTGCGGTCACAGGATGATGGTGAAACTGCGCTGAAACCTGAAGGTGCATGTGTGCGGTTTGCTCTCGGTTTGGGGAAGCCTGATCCAGACACTGGAGGGGTGTCACACACCCTTCAGCTCCAAAGACAATGAAAGAGAAGTCGAAAAATGCCGCCCGGACTCGGCGGGAGAAGGAGAACAGTGAGTTCTATGAGCTGGCCAAGCTGCTGCCGCTGCCCTCGGCCATCACGTCTCAGCTGGACAAAGCCTCCATAATCCGCCTGACCACCAGCTACCTGAAAATGAGAATAGTGTTTCCTGAAGGTAAGGAGGCTCAGCTCAGAGGGACCCGCACACCTTCACACAAAACAGTGCAGTATTAAAATACATTCAGAAATACCAACATTATAGTATGTTCAAAAAGTTACATTTAAACTTTACATTTAGAAAGTAAACACTGGAATTAAGTATTATTGTATTGTTGTCGGATTATTATTATTATTATTATTATTATTATTATTATTATCGACAATAATAATAACAACAATAATAAAAATAATAATCATAATGATCAGAGGCGCTTGATTGTAAAGACGAAAATGAAAACCCTTTGAACCCGGAGGAATCAGCAAAACTCGATAAGACAAACAGGAAGCTGTAAATATATAAACTGGACTAAACTGCGAATATGATATATGATAACTTGTTTTGGTGCTAAAGCTTTTTTTCTTTCTTGTTTTGTTATAGGCTAATGTATATTACAATTATATTATAATGCTATTACATATATACATATGTATGTATGTATAACCTGTATTTTACTTTTAAAGTTATTGTAGTCCTGTGTCGTGTTTTATCAGTGACGCCTCTTTCAGCTCTTATACTCTCCCAATGGCATAACTATTATTATTATTATTATTATTATTATTATTATTATTATTAGTATTATTATTATTGAGTATTTAATAATAATACATTTTGTCACGTCTTATATTCTGACTCATTTTAAAGCGTCCCAAAAGTATTTCAGGACACATTTTCCTCACTTTATACAAAAGATAAAAAAAGAATATAAGCGTGGTGTGTGTGTGTGTGTGTGTGTGCGTGTGTGTGTGTGGTGTTCAGACTCATGCAACTCCTAACAGGCGATTAGTGGTCATTTTCCAGCTCCTCTGTGCTCTCACCGGCCTGCTTTCTCTACGTGCCTGAAACCGAGCCGCGCCAATTAGCACTGCCCGATCCAACCTGCCCATCTCCCCCCAACACGCAGCAGAGACCCCCTCATACCCGCAGCACGCGCTTTAAAAAGACAAAGAAACGCGGACGTGCGGATAAGAAAGGGACTCCAGAGCTGTGGTGGTCGGGGCCAGTCCTGCAGGTCCTGATGTCTCTCACTCATCACTGTTTCTGTAGTTAGAGATGATTCAGATCTTCCGGGGTTTTTTTTTTCTCAGAAGGGAGAATTTGGAGATGGGAACATGTGATGTTGGTGATTTTTACTTTACCATAGTGGAGCAGAGAGTTCATGAGGCCTCGCGGCGCTCCATCACACTAAGGGTCTTCAGCGCCTGACAGCTGCAGGGCCATGATTGAGTCAAGGCAGAGACTCCGCAATAACAGCAGAATGACTCCGCAATAACACCTGAATAACGACAAAATAACACCTGAATAACTGGACAATAACACTAGAATAACTCTGCAATAACACCAGAATAAGTCCGTTAACTAAACAAAGGCTCTGCTGTTATTTCACATATACATGTTATAAAGTCTGCAGGAGCTTCTGTGGCACGTCTTTCTTCTTCTTTTTATTATTATTATTATTATTATTATTATTATTATTATTATTATTATTATTAATAATAATAATAATAATAATAGTATATAAATGTTAGAAGTTCCTTTTATTTTATTAGAATCTTATTCTGACATGACCCTTAACTCGCTGGTATTCCCTCTTTCCGTGTGCACTTTATAGACAGTGGGGTAATATGAAAAAAGAAAAAAGTAAATTGATTAATTTCTACATGATTTCAAAAGGAATCTCATATAGTAAATTCAGACAATTGCTGTAGTTAATTACAGAAAACTAATATTATATAATATAATCTTATAATATTAATCTATAATATTTTCACCTCAATAGAATATTAATGTAGTAGTGTCTTAAAGTGCTACATTAATATTCTATTTAGGTGAAAATATTATAGATTAATATTATTCTATAGCGCTATAGAATTATTTATAGTTTCTTACGTTATTATAGTACATCGTATTCATTAATGTAAATAGTTGGATGAATTCCTCAGCACCGTGTGGCTCTATTAAAAACAATACAATAAGAATCTAATGATATTAGATTTCAATGTGTACATCTGAGCGCAACACACACACACACACACACACACACACACACACACACACACACATACAAAGTGTTGTTATTAGACGTTGATAAATTCCCTCAGTTTCATAAACATTTTTTTTCTTGTAACTAAACTCCATTTGAAGTTACATTCCTGTTCGTTAATAAACAGGTGAGACTGCAGCAGGTAAACAGCGCGTGCTTGAATAGTTGGTCTGTGTGCGGGGGGTGTTCTGCAGACAGAGTCTCGCGCTGGAGAGCGCCATCAGTATCGCATTTTACGGCGAACAGATTTGTGCAGCATGTGCTTTGGCCATCATTTCCCCATCTTCTTCCTCCCCTTCACAGCGCGTGCACAATACGCGTGATGCGGCTTTGCTGAAGTGTGACGAACTCGCTGTGTAAGGACACTCCTCTAGTAGTCGGAGGAAAATGTTCTGCGTAATTGCCACTAAAATTTTATTTGAAAACTAAAGGAAGGCGCGGCTGCTTTACGGCTGTTATTTATGGGCTACTTTTAACACTCACCTCCACTGCTCTTCACCTGACCGCTCTGACCGCTCTGTCCGCTCTGTCCTCTCACCGCACACACACACACCCTCCCTGCAACACACCACAATCCGCGCTCACACTTTTTAAACGTTTTCGCCTGTTTCTAAGCATTTTAGTATTTTAACGGTTCCATTTTTGGTGCACAATATTAGCGAATTTAATGCTGTCCGTCCGTTATATCAGTTTTTGATGCTGCTGACTGAACTTACAGATACACTGAAAAACCTTTTTGGTGTCTTAGGTTTAAAAGGTCAGTCAGCTTACTGCAGTAAAGTGTTGAGTTAATTGAACTTGTAAGTAAACAGAACAAAATCAGTCAGTTTTCTGTTCTGCTGAATTGTTATTTGAAGTTCAGTGAGCTCCGAAATTGTATTACAGCGAGTTGATTTAGTTTTTTGAGACACCAGTTTTTCTCCCTCAGTGTAATTTTCTCTAAGAACGCGCTGCAGCTGTTTTAATGCGGACTGTTAACAGAAACAACGCGGTGGTCGCTTTGGTGACCACAATTAAGTTATTATAGCCGAGCTGGAGTCTTTCCAGCACAACCTGTAAGTTGTAAGATGGATGCAATTTTCTTGCCCTGCGAGCAGTTGAAAGGTTCCTTGTGCAGAGCTTCAGTGGATCACTCTATTCACCGCTTCAGCCTGAGAGCCGCTCTCATCTGATTTCCTCTCTTTACAAAAACTCATTTACTCTTTATCTAAACTCCCTCATGTCCAGGCGCTCCGTATTCCTGCGGGGTGTGGGGGGCAAAAAGAGGAAGGAGAAAAAGAAGAAAATAGACTCGGACTTACAGAGTGTCAGCGACCCACAACAAATGTGTACTTAAAAATCACCTGAAATTAAGACAAGGCTACCTGCAGCCTGAGGTACTCCACTAAACCAGGTACTGCACTGTTAGTGCTTTGTTGTAGGATGTACAGGCGCTTGGCGATGTGAGAGGCTCAGACACCGGATTGTAGCGCGGACAGCCTGACAGACTGACCTCTCGCCGCTTTTAGTGGGAGATGAAGCGCTGTCCCGCTGTCTCCCCGCTGTCCCCTCGCTGTCTTTGCGGTACCGTGTGATATTTTAGGAGGTGGCGATGCGCGCGCAGGCCGTGTTTGAGTTGTGGTTAAGAAATAATTAGATTGTTTCTGTTGTGTAAACCTGAAGTGTATATTTGGTTAATATTAAAATGGGAATCGGAGCTTTGCTGTGATCCTCGCACGGCGCGTGTTTGTTTTCAGAGATTTGCATTTCAATGGGGATTGCGGAAGGGCTTATGGAGCGGACAGCAGCTCCCTGTTTGTCTTATCGAGTTTTGTTGGTTCCTTCGGGTTTACTGAGTTCATTTGCATTTTTACAATCATGTTTACTGTCAATTTGATATCAAAATACCGCCTTCTTCCTCTAAAGCAGCCTGAGAGGCTTCCGGAACGAGTTCTATAATAACACATCAGCAACATCAACACGAACAGCACTGAGATGATGATAATAATAATAATAATAATAATAATAATAATAATAATGGTGATAGTGGTGATATTGATGATGATGATGATCGAGTGTATTACCGGCCTATAGAAACAGAGGTGATGTATAATTGTGTAATGAATAATGCGCTGCAGGTTTAGGGGAATCATGGGGGCACGTGAGCAGAGCGAGCTCTTTGGACAATGTGGGCCGCGAGCTGGGATCACATCTACTACAGGTACGAGCGCTTTATTATTATTATTATTATTATTATTATTATTATTATTATTTGTATATCTTCTGTGTATGTTTTTGTAAGGTTCTTTTTAGTATTTTTATAATTTTATTTTTGTATTATTTCTATGACTATCCTGAAGCTTAAATGAATATTCTGCCTGTTAGTTCCATTTCATTGTTGAAGTGCAAATCAAGAAGTTTAACATTAGCTGAGTATTTATTTATATAGCTGAGTGTTGTTTATTTATTTATTTATTTATTTATTTATTTATTCATTCATTTATTTATTTATTTATTTCAGGTTTTTCGTCAATGTTCATGATAAAGCATTATAAATCGCGCAGGCGATACGAGGCTCATACACAAACCAACCCGCTTGAAATAGAATATTTTTAATTGGCAGAGCATTTGTTACAGAAATATCTCTCTTGTGAGCTCTGAGCTCTGACTGTTTTGTGGAAAGCAAAAGTTTTGGATTATTTGCGGAAACTCGGGATTTATTGTGTTTTATGTTTATTTACATATTTATTTTGTTACGTTTAGATGGAAACTGATTCGGAGGCTGCGCTACTGCGTTACTGTGTTACTGCCTCACTGCGTTACCGTGTTACTGCGTGTTTCCGTTAATCTACTCAAAATTCGGAATATAAACGTGTGTGTGTGTGTGTGTGTGTGTGTGTGTGTGTGTGTGTGTGTGTGTGTGTGTGTGTGTTTGTTTGTTTCAGACGCTGGACGGGTTTATTTTCGTGGTGGCTCCTGATGGGAAGATCATGTACATCTCCGAGACCGCCTCAGTGCACCTGGGGCTGTCACAGGTAAAGTGCTCTGATTGCTCTCCTCTGCTCTGAGTTTCTATTACCGGCTCCTGCTTTATTATTTGTACTTTATTCGTTAAGCTCGCGCGCTGCGCGTTTGACTGAGATGACAGAGGCTCATTTTAACAGGTAGAGCTGACGGGAAACAGCATTTATGAGTACATTCACCCTGCTGACCATGACGAGATGACCGCGGTACTGACCGCGCACCAGCCCTACCATTCACACTTCGTACAAGGTAGAGAGAGATCACACTAAACACACACTCCCCCTGAGCCCCCTTCATCATCTAACCCCCCCTCCATCTCTCTCTCTCTCTCTCAGAGTATGAAATGGAGCGTTCTTTCTTTCTGAGGATGAAATGCGTCCTTGCCAAGAGAAATGCAGGTCTGACCTGCGGCGGATATAAGGTAGTTTTGAAATTTGAGTTTTTGCACCTGTTAGAGATCTTTATATTTAACTGTTTTCAGTTACATTGAAGAAACAAAATCTTCAGAAATTTGTAACAGTGGAAAATATAGTTCTGCTGATGAAACTGGAATTATAATAAAATGATAAATGAATCTACAAGTTACCATAATGTAACCATTCTTGTGGCTCAACAGTGAAACAATTCTAGGCAAAACAGAAATAGATAGATAGATAGATAGATAGATAGATAGATAGATAGATAGATAGATAGATAGATAGATAAAATGTAATATAATGTGGAATTATTGTGATGTACAGTCAAATGCAAAAGTTTTAACACCCCTGATCAAATTACGTTTTGTTGATGCTCTAAGTGAAAATAATTTAACACATCCTCTGCAGAGAACACACTCAAATATAACTTTATTTTCTGCAGATTGTCGTGCCCAATTTCTAATCATTTGGTGAGTTCAACATAGTGGATGAAATAAAAAATTAAATAAAATTATAAGCTCTTCCAAAACCTTTCCAGAGGCCATATTTTATGTTTGTTTTGCCCAATATAGTAAATTCAGCAAATAAACAGAAATTGTGCATTGAAAGTCCTCTGTAGAGGATGTGTAACTTGCTTTCTATTAGAAAATCCATAGAAACATTTGTGTTGACTGTATTTCACTTATTATCCTTTTATTGTTCTGTGCTGTTCTAACTGTGAACGGTGCAGATCTCAGTGTTCATGATGAAGTTACGGATCCAGCAGTGGTTGCGTGATACAGCAGCATGTACTATGTTTGTGACTGTTGGTGGGATTTACTGTTAAGTTGTGTGCATGTATGGTATATTATTTCACATGTGTGGGGGGGCTGTCTGTTTACTCCTGCAGGTGATCCACTGCAGTGGCTACCTAAAGATACGTCAGTACAGTCTGGACATGTCTCCATTTGACGGCTGCTACCAGAATGTGGGGCTGGTAGCTGTGGGCCACTCGTTGCCCCCCAGTGCAGTGACAGAGATCAAGCTCCACAGCAACATGTTCATGTTCAGAGCTAGCCTGGACATGAAGCTCATCTTCCTGGATTCCAGGTAGATTCTCACCATCCTATTAACTATGAACATTAGGGCTGTTATTCAGTTATTAATCCTAAGAGTCATTATTCAGTAGCTACTATAAATTGTTTAGTAATTACCGTGAAATTAATATCATCACTGTCGTATGAAAACCATAGATCTTTGCTTTTATTTTTATATGTCATGTAAACACAGCGGCTGCTCTTTTCATTGTGTGAACATTTTATTATGAATGGACCAACAGAAATGGTCCAGACTTGCTTGGAATAAAGTCTAGTTACATTAATTTACATAAAAAAGACTGCAAAGTCATTTTGGAGATGCATGGGTTTGTTTGGACAGCCACAAAAGTTTTGCAGAATCGTAGGTTCGTCTAGAGTACTGTAAAGAAAAAAATTCTTAGGCTATTTGAAAAAAATCTTGAGATGTAAGCCATTTAATTTGGCAGTAAGCATTCATTTATTAAAATACACACTGGAATAATGCAAATAAACGTAGAAACATTGCATTGTGATTTTGTGACTCAGTGTGTTAGCTGAATCATTTCCAGTATTTATAGTTACCATCCAGCTTCAGCTAATCAGTCCTTTATTAAACTAAGCAGGGGTGCTGCTGATGGAATTTAAGAAACACATGTAATGGCTGGAGAGTAACGAGCAACCAAGAACCAAACCTGAGTTCTTGGCTGCTCTTGTTTATTTTACTGTATTTATGTTTCTGTATTCTAGGGTTATGTAGTGTTTTTACAGGCAAAACACTTTTACGGTCAGCATAAATAGTTTAAACAATTTTCATGGCTGCTTAAGACTTGTATACAGTGCTGTACAATTTTCTGGGGTTTAAGAATCCTGCACCTCAATACAGATCATAATAGACAATATAAATATATGTGTGTCATACAGTTCTTAAGGCCACAGATATTCAGCCCTGTGTGCAAACGTACATGTTTGCTTGTTTGTTTGTGTGTGTGCAGCTTTGTTTGAATATTTGTGTTACGTTATCTGTGTGCATGTGCACCTGTTATTTTGTGCACAACACGTATGTGTCTTCATGTTTGGCTTATATTTGTACAAATTTGGCCTACTGTGTGTGTGTGTGTGCGTGTGCAGGTGTTTGTGTGCACATTGGCAGCATAATTATTCTCCTCCATGTTTGTTTGCCAGGGTGGCAGAGCTTACTGGCTATGAGCCACAGGACTTAATAGAGAAGACTCTTTACCATCACGTCCACAGCTGTGACACCTTCCACCTACGCTGTGCACACCACTTGTGTGAGTTAGGTTTGTTTTTGCTCGTTCCTCTGGCTACCTTCGGCCCTGACAGACTCCAGTCACATTCCAGTCACAGCAACATTTTAATGCACAATTGCTGTTTATTTTCAGAATTTAATATATTGGAAAAAATAAAACAATACAACAATTTTCTTGTTCGTTTTGTTTTGTTTTCCACTATGTTAAACTCAGCAAATAAATAGAAATGAGAAATTATGCCCTAAAATTGATTTAAGTTTGCTCCCTGTAGAGGATGTGCTAACTAATTGTCACTTAGATACTCCAAAATCCCATATAATTTGGCTGGGTGTGTTCAAACTTTTGTATATGACCATATTCGATTTTTATAGCCTTGTTTTTTTTTACAGTGCCTTTTTCTTCAGTGCCTTGAAATATAAAATGCCATATTTTTGTCAATCATACTGTAATAAATGCTTATCAGTTCTAAAAATGTACTCGATATTGAAACAAGAAACCATGTTTTATTTAGCTCATATTTTTGTCAAACAATTTTTGCTTAGATTAACAGAGGCATCTTTCACCTGTTTCACTTTTACAGTCCAGCTTTAAATTTTTGCACAAAAAAAGGAAAAAAAAAAAAACCTAAAGAAAGAAAGAAAAAAAGGAAATGGTGCAACAATATATGTGATTTCTTCTTTTTTTCTGTATGTGTGTGTGTCACAGGCAGAGATTAAGACAGAGAGAGCTGTTCATACACAATGTACAGGATTGCGTCTAATAATATAGCCTATTAAGACATGAAAGTAAACAAAGAGGAAAAGACAAGTTCTTCTCAAATCATGTCAGTATTGTCAGGTTGCCAGGAAGTACTACAGTTTAGACATACAGAATGATTAATTATTTAATATGAAAAAAATAGAGAAAGTTGTGACTGCATCAGATCTTAAACAGAGTTACAATAAAGTCAAGGCTGTAAATAATTAGAGGTTTAAAGTACTGTAAATTTAACTGATTTCTATTCTCTCTCTCTCTCTCTCCCTCTGTATCTCTCTCTCTCTCTCTCTTTCTCTCTTTCTCTCTCTCTCTCTCTCTCTCTCTCTCCTCTCTCTCTCTCTCTCTCTCTCTCTGCAGTGTTGGTAAAGGGACAGGTCACTACAAAGTACTACAGGTTCTTGGCTAAGGAGGGGGGCTGGGTTTGGGTCCAGAGCTATGCAACTATTGTGCACAACAGCAGATCCTCCAGACCTCACTGTATCGTCAGCGTAAACTACGTCCTAACGTGAGTACAGCTGGCCTCTGTACCTTACTGCTCTGTTGCTGCTGTTGACAAACACATCTGCACAGCCCTTTTATCTTTGTCTCAGAAATGAAATAACTCGCTGAACAAAGAATATCAGGATCACATGTACTTGTTTATTCTCACCACATTTTCAAAAGTGTTCATTCGTGGTTACTTTTTCTCTTCCAGTTACAGTTAATTAGCGCTTGCACCACTTTTTTTTCTTCTTTTTTTGATGCAACGTTGTTAAGCAATTAAGGGAGGATAATTGCGTAATTAGAAAGCTGTCATGCAGATTGACAAGCTCGTAATCCATTTGTAATCCCTGGTTTAATATGTGTTTCACTAGTTGGGTTTCAGAAGTATTTTTGCATTTGAAATATAATGGTTTTGTTCTCTTCTGCCTAACAGCTAAAGATAGAAATAGAAAATTAAAGAGACAAAGAGCCCATGTTATGAAAAAAAAAAAGTATTTCTTTGTTTGTTTGTGAAATCAAAGAGAAACTGAGGTTTAAGGTAGTCTGTAAACCTTTAGCCTTTCAAAACTTGAACAATACTCCACAGTCCCTATGGTAATATATGGATATATATCATCATTGCTGTCCAAAAACAACAAGCATCTCCATTTTTTCAGGGTTTTTTCCACACCATTTGCGCACAGCAGCTGTTTTTTATATTTGGTGAAAATTTCATGGTAAATGGACTAACAGAAATGCTCTGAAAATTGCTTAGAATAAAATCTCTTTACAATAAATGTAAAGAACATATTGTCTTCTCCTGTAATGTTACTGCATTGGAGATTTTTTGACAGCAACAATATGAAAATTAAACTGCAAAAACATCCCAATTTCAATTCACAGTTTTTCTGATATCATACAGCAGTGCATTTACATTTATCCATCTATTCAGCCTACAGCAGTTTAACTCTTTTCCATTCATGTTAATGTTATGAAGATTTATTGTAGCTCAGACTGCTTTTCAAATGAGGCAGCCAATCAAAACAGAGATCATTTACATATATCAGTCTTTAATTTATGTTATGTTATATATTAAGTTAGTGTGATAACAGTGCTAGGCAAGCCTCTAAAATAAATGCTCAGTAGCCACTGTAATAGGGACAGTACCTTTACAGGTGCTATAAGGAATTATGGATGACCAGTTGTAACTTGCGACTTTGTACTGAGACGTCAGGACTAACTATAGCATCAATAGTACAGTGCACGCTTCATGTCACCCCCATTGCCTCCATGAGAAACCTATTTCTAACCACAGAGCACGTGTCAGCTTTAGCTGGATGCTCATAAATGGAGTTAAATATTTATAATTTTATATGTAAATATTGTCTAGGCAAAAGATATTTATACAATTTCCATCAAATATTGTACATGCAGAATTTCATGAAAGACTGCTTAGTCTTAGTCTAGTGCTTCGTAATCCCAGTCCTGTTGTGCCCATGCTCTACACGTTTGCATGTTTGTGTTTTCTCTGTTCAAACACATTTAAACCAATTTATGAGATTGTTTTTATAGATAGTCATGCGTAGATGTATGAGTAGGTATTTGAGAGGATTTCTCAATGAGTGCATGCTGCCTATATCTGCATATATGTTAATTATGCAACATTCTTGCCATATATCTATTTTTTGCATTACTTTGATTACCTGTAAAACTTTAGGAATGAGGAATTGATTATAATTTGCATAAATAAAACTGTAATTAGTGGTGTAATATATTGGATTACTCAGTTGGTCTGATTGCTTTTGGATTACTTTCAGTTTTTCAGCCAGGTTTGTTTGTTTGTTTATTTGTATATCTCTTTTCTTTTCTCAAGAGTGCTTAGCCTGGATTGGCCTAATTAGTGCTAATGCATGTACAAAGGGACAAACTGCTATGTATAGACGCATCGCTGGTTAAAGTCATTAATGTGCTGTCTGTGCAAATAAGTAAATATATTTGTAGACATAAATGTCTGTAGCAACAACTGCCAGAGTGCATCTGCTAAAACATTTGTGGAGTTGTGCCCTCATGCTTGAGTCCCAGCTGTAGCAAGTACTGTTTGTGCCCAAGAGTCCGCTGATTAGGAGGCAGCGTGACAGAGCCTGGTGCTCCAGCCAGTTTATGACTTCCTTACTGTAGAGGCTCCTCAAAAGGAGAAAGGAGAGACCACCAACTGTACTGCAGTATAAAATGAAGCCATGATGACCCCCACTAACCCACCAGATGTGTCCTCCTGTCAACTAATCACACTATGTGCCGCTCTGCAACATGTTTCTAGCTTTAAAACTTTACTTGGTGCAGACTTGGTGGTGAGTGTACACTTCCGCTTTGTCAGCATCATTCTGATCATGCAACCTTGCGCACGCCTGCTGGCATGAGCAGCATAAATTAGTATGCAGCCGCACACTCCACACACATTGGAGAAGGTGTATTGGCCTTTAATCCCTATATTAGTGGAGCTGTTGTGTGGTGTGTGGCGAGAGGCTTGCAACATGGGGAACTGGACATGGTTAAATAGGAAACATACTTTATGAAACTACATATCGTTGTTGTCGATGTAGCGTAGTTGGTAACACTTCTACCCTGCACACAGCAGACTGAAGTTTGATTCCCAGCCCAGACAGGCACACCAAGCTATGCCAATAAGAGTCTGGGAGCAAGACTCCTAATGCTAAATTTGCCAACAAGATTGATTTGTAAGTTGTTCTAGATGCCAAATGCTGTAAATTGTGCCTTTATTTATATGGTTTGTTGTCAAAATGGCCATAAAGTACAAGTTATTCATTTTTGAGCATCAGGAAAGAACAGAGAAAACATACATATATGTAACAGAAAATTACACCTTTATTACAGCATCTTTTCTTTTGAGACATTTTCAGTTTTTCAGAGAAATCTGCAGGAATGTGTTTATACACCTCCAAAGTTCAGTCTTAAAAATTGGTTGCATTTTCTACTTCTTAAGATCGAAGTAATCCCAAACACAGTGATGTGGTCTGGACTCTGGGGTGGTCAGTCTATTGTTCTGTGAACATTAGCAGCTTCTTTGTTTGATTTTTACTTTTTACAGTAACAGCTTCTTGACAGCTACATGTCCTTTCAGACTCATAGTGTTGAGTTGTCTTCTCACAGTGGAAGCATGGACAGAAACACCTGTGGATTTTTCAGATCTGAAGCAAAAGTGGAGCTTGATTTTCTCCTCTCTCTCAAAGATGAAAGGTTTAAGTACCGTTTATCTGATGGTGACAGTTTTGGTGGTTTACCAGGTTTGGCATGGTTGTTCGGAACCCCTTTTCTATATCTATAATAACTTTTTAAACTCTTTTTTCACTTATTTTCCTTTGACTTTCTCTTCCTTATACACGTGGGTTATCTTATATCTATATATAGAAATGTATCCTGAAAAATGAATTCCTTGTACTTAATGCTCATTTTGACTCCAAATGAGTTAAATGAAGTCTGTGACTTTTGCACAGTGCTGTTTATGTAACAAGACATTGTTCCAAGTCCATTTGGACCATTCACATTGGTCAATTGTTTATAATGTGTTTACACTCTCAGAGTTGCAAAGTTTTAAAATAGGGATGAAACATTTCAGTTCTTTAAAACATATAATAACCAAATTGAACATGTGATAAAATGACATCTTGGTCATATTTTGGCAGTGTGATTACATAATTTAAATAACATGCTGTTAGGTATTTGCAATACTCTTAGAACTCTTCTGTGCTGCTAGTGATCAGTACTCACAGCTTTCTCCCTCAGCTCTTTGTTGAGAGAGTCATGGCGTGGCTGTGTTAGTGCTCTGCTCTCAGGTGGGAAGTTTCTCTCTCTTTAAAACAACATGCCCAGCTGTGTGTCTGCTCCATACACAAATTATATGCTAGAAGGAGGGAGTCAGGGCTGATTTATTTGTCATGCATTCATTCTGATAAAGCAGATGCATTATCACTACAGACTTTCCACTGGAACTCTCCGGAAAGAATGAAGCGGCTCTGGCAGAGGAGCCATCCTTCATGTCGGGCCTGAGAGTGAGGGCTGCACGGATGAGTGAAACGTCGTGTTTTTGCCTTCGCTCATCCAGGAAGCACTATGGAACCGGTGCCAATGCTTGGGCCCATTCAGTCTGCTTGTTGCAGGTGTGAATGACTGCAGTCCATAAAAGCTTCCATTAAGCAATAGAGGTGGTGCATGTTCACACTGATGTGAGGCTGGCAACAGCTTCATACAGCTCCCCAAGCCCACAGTCATAAAAAGAAGTGTTTATGAGCTTTAATTAATAGGCTGTAAAGATGATGAGTGTTTATAGCGCACAGCTTGCTAAGTGTGTTGCTGAGAGTTCTTTTCCTTCCCCATTATGATATGCATGCATTTGATTCATGGATCAGTGCGCTTATTCCATTGAGAAAGTCTGTTCAGGAGGGGTTTGCTCTCATGAGTGTGAGTGATGGTGTTGAGACTTGCTCCCAGTTTGACCCCTTCACATGTGTGTGTTGTGTCATAATTGCAAAGCTAATCTTTGCTCGCTGCAGAATAAGGTGAATGTGTCTGGCCCCTTTTCATGGCTGTTATCAGAATGTGCGTTTGTTCACACACTGACTGCAGTAGGAGGTGTGAAGTAAGAGTCTGTCTGTGTGTGCGTGCGTGCGTGCGTGTGTGTGTGTGTGTGTGTGTGTGTGTGTGTGTGTGTGATGTCTGTGTATTGTAAAACTGAGGCTGGCCACTCTGTTGCCTCACCTTCTGGCTGTTTTGGCTTCTGTCTATGGCCTGTGACCCTAGATATAGATCCCTATTTACCAAGAGACTATGGCTCACTCAGGTTTTATAGGGGATATGTAGGTGTATGTGTACATGTGTTAGTGTGAGTTTTGATACAGTTTCAGGATAAAAAATCAGACAGCAGGAGTAGCCTACAGTGTGAGAGTCTAAAATAGGGTCTTGACTTTGATAAGAGCTTGTAAATTAAAGGTACATGTTTCCAGGGGTACAGTAAAGGTCGAAGAGATTAGGACGATTACAAGGACCCCAAAGAGACAGAGTCCCACACAAATTGTACCCTTTTTTTGCATGTGATTTATAGGCTTTACAAAGTATTCTTTATGCATTCAATAATTGTAAATAGTAGTTTACATACAGTGCTAACAGTGCATCGTGCATTCTATCACCACTCCACTGGCCCTTCTGTGTAAACATTCAGAGGTTTAGCCTGGTTATGGTTTGTAAGAAGAGCGAGACTTTTCAAAAAGATCAGGAAAAAATAAGAACTGCAGAAACATGGAAGTCAACTGATGGTAAAAGTAGGTTATAGAGGCGAAGGCGATGTAGAAAGTGATCCGGTGTCCACAATGTATGCTACGAACACTTTGTAGTCTCCTCTTCTATCTTTTGGCCTGGATAAAGTACAAATTAAAAACAGACTATCTCCATTACTCTAGGATTGAATTTAGTGATTTACAGCTGGATAAATGAGTATCAGTTCTATACTACTCAAAAACAGTTAATTATTGAATCATGCTTTGACAGCAAAGATGCAGTGCTTTTAAAGAGAGAAACATACTTTCATACAAAAACTTCAGTCAGTTCCATGCAGTCATGTTGCTTATCATCAAATTCTCAACTTGCTGTATGCTACGGATGACAGTAATAGTTGGAATTCAGGAGCTAAAACAAAAAGGTAGAGTTAGGAGAACTATGCCACATTTTAATATTGTGACAGACTCTGTTAAGGCAAGTTAAGCAAGGGGCCCATGCATGAAATTTTCAGGGGGCCCAAAATTCCTATGAGTGGCCCTGCATATTTCATGTTTTTAAACTGAAAGGGCTAAAACATTTCCTGTTGGTTACTGAGGTTAAATGTAATTTAATATGCATAGAGCTTTTTACAGGCAAGATTGCCACCAAACAGCTTTACAGTCAGAACTCACAAACTGAGAGGTAGGGCTAGAGTGTTGGTGGAGAGATAGATTTAGTGAAACATTGGAATAGTTAAAGAAGATTTGGGAAAGTATGTTAGGGTTATAAAATTCCTACAACACATAGCACATGCACTAGTGTTCACAAGTTTGGAATCACAATTCAAAGTTTGAGATCACTATTTTCAATAAAATACAAACAAAGCTGTTGCAGATAAACACATTAAATGATTCTGTTATGGTGCTGCTACTTGACACCTGAAAGTTTAGATGTGTCCAGAATTACAAACAAAGCCGTAGATGATTCCTTGACTAAGAAAGCAGTAAAACATTGAGAATGAAGTTATACTAAAATTAGTGCCCAGAATGCTTCATATTTGAAATATTAGTGAGTAAACATGTTCCCATATTCAATAATAAGATATATTGCAATATTATATTGTTGTTATTATGGACACTTTGAAATCCTGTCACTGCGTTTTGTGACTGTTTTGTGATTTCGTGCTTTAGTTGATGTCTCTACAGCTGCTTAGTGTGTTATTCATCTGAGCACCTTCACAGCTCATGCTAAAAGTTGCAACATCCTTTCATACTCTCTGTGCTGTCTAGAATATAAAAGGTCTTCCAACCAGCCTGAAAAAAAAAAAAGGGTAAACCAAAGATATGATGTCCGTTAAGATTACAAGATTGTACATGTCATGTATAGGGTTTTTTTTAATACAATTTTTTGCGATATCATGAACCAATATAAAATGCTAAGTAATTATTGTGATATTACATGTTTTGTATAGGCACATGCCAAGAGGTGATTCAATCAGAGGCAGATAACTTAGCAAGAAATTGCCAGAAATAAATAATCACACTCTATTATTTATCATTTAGTAACATTTTGTTTTTCCAAAAAAAAACAAAAAACAGATTGAAATACCTCTGGCTTGAAGTATTTTGGTCTACAATGTCTAAGTTAAAAGTGAAGAAAATAACAGCAAAATGATTCCAAACTTTTTAACAGTGTACATATGATCCCATGTTCTGACGCTGTAGAAAAACTGTTGCATGTGTTTGCATTTCTGTCTCCTTTCAAGATGTTTCCCTCTGTGCTCGTTGCTACGTGTCTACATATTGTTGGAGTGATGCTGCAGGGTCTCTAGAGGAGCACATGGCTCTATCCTTGGCTGGCGTGCTCTCTGGACACAGTTTTCTTTGTCTGCGAGTTGATTCATCATAGGGAGCAAAATCCATACCACACTTTACTCAGAAATCAATTCCCATTTCCTAGTTATGCCTCATGTGGGATCTGCTTGTGAGCTTGATTTAGCCAGACATAGCTCTTAATCTCACTGTGTATTTGAACGGAGACGCTTGCCCTCTGCCATGTGTTTGTAAAAGCCTTGCACCAATCCTACAGGAGAAACAATGGCTTCCAACTGCACCGCCTCCTCTCAAACACACACACACACACACACACACACATACACACACACACACACACACACACACACACACACAAATGCTTTCTCTCTGTCTCTCTTACACACACATACGTGCACGTCATTGTCTCACAAATGAGCAACTGCGTCTTAATTACCAAACAGATGTTGGCTCACATTTACAGCATTGAAAGAGCTGAAATAAAATGCCCCGGTACACAAAAACACACTGGAGACACACTTGCACAAACAACATTACACACCACTCTGCCGGAGACCTTGCCTTTGTGTAATGAAAGTATTGATTTTAATCCTGCTGAGTGCAATACCTGTTGAGCTTCAGCTGTAATGTTGCCTTTTCTCTCAACAGGGACACAGAGTATAAAGGTCTACAGCTATCCTTAGACCAAGCGACGTCCACCAAGCCAGCCTTCACCTACAGTAGCCCCTCCAACCCCATCAGCGACAACAGGAAAGGGAATAAAAGCAGGGTGTCCCGCACCAAACCCAAGACACGGCTCTCCCCCTATTCGCATGTGAGTATACACTCTAACTGTATGAATATGATGTGGCAAAGGTTCTCACAAATGAATATGCAACTTTTTCTGAGGTTAGCTGTTTTTTTGTGTCATTGGGTTAACATTAGTATGGTGACAAATTTGGCCCTGTGATTTCCAACCTGACAGCCGACATTGAAATGTTTCATTAAATTGACTGAGATTTTTGGCAACATTCTGTAAAGCTTATACAAACCTTGCAGGAGTGGCTACTTTTGAGCTGAGCATGGTTAACTAGTCAACTAAATTAGGTAGGGCAAACCATGTCTGTTAGAGCTAGGCCCTCAGCTCAGTCCACAAATAAAGAAACTTGGTCAAAAAATACCTCTACAATAATGCTAATTTCTGCTCACGCCCTTATGGGATTCTATTAGTATGTTAGCGTTGATTTGCACGGACATTTTTGGTTGTTCTAGATTAAAGATGGACATTTGAAGCTTGTAAAACACATTCTATGTTTTATTTGAAGCTTCTAACATACATGTTAACACATTTTATCTTGCATGTAGTTTTCCATTACTAGCATCTGACTGAAATGCATTGGTCACACTACTGCTTTTTTGTTACAGTCATTGATGTATCTAGGACCAGGGTTGGGATGTATTGGAATACAAGTATTGGGAATACATATTCACAATACAGAAATTAAATATCTGTATTTGGTCCAAGATACATTTTATAAAGGTAGTATTCAAAATACAGTTGCTTTTTATATTTTTAGTTTAGTTACATATAATATATATAATTATATCTACACACATATATACATAGAAAAATGTTTTTTGAAGCCTGAGTAGACTGATTGATCACTGTGATGAACCAGTTATTCAGCAAGTGTTAATAAACTTCTTTGGGGGATGACTGATAAGCTTAGCTTTGGTGTTTGGACTTGCATTGTATTCTCTGACAAATTACATTCATGCCATTAACTAAAAAATCACATAGCTACTCACTTTATAGTGAAATTTTTGAGATTTTGTGATTGGGATTTGGTGAGTTGTTGGCTTAGGTCATGAAAGGGCAGTGGAAGTATGGAAGCAGCAGTGTACTGAAGTAGGTGATAAGAGTCAAAATAACATTAAGAAGTTTGTATTCATTTTTGTATTCATTGATCCTTTCCTCTCAAATTTGGTTCCCCCTTTTGTAAATTAAAATGTGATTGAAAAAATGTGGTTCCTCTCTCACTCACTAATTAAATTATAGGACTTCAGTCCAGCTCCTAAATTTATATATATATATATATATATATATATATATATATATATACTATTTATTTATTTATTTATTTATTTTATTTTATTTTTTTACACAACAATCCTTAGGCCTTTTCTGGAGACCTGAAAGTCCCTGAGGGTTCCCCTCTGATTAGATTTAATAACACATAAGTAAGGATATATTTTTATCTTGTATGTAGCAGTTTTCTGTTGCTAGCATCTGACTGAGATGTACTAGTTACACTACTGCTTTTTTGAAACAGTCAGTGATGTTTCTAGGACCAGGGTTGGGATGTAACTAAATACAAGTATTGGGAGTGCATATTTCCCCAATACATTATTACATATGTATGTTTATATATACTTTGAGAAGTATGATAATTATGGACCCAGGATTGGGAATCACTTTTCTATAGGAACAATAGCTATGGGCCGGACCATAGATAAGCAGCACAACGCAGATTTAGTATTGGGTTTCAGTGAGTGTTGATGGGTTTGTCTGTGTGGTTTTGTGCAGTACCCAGGCTTCCACACGGAGCGCTCTGAGTCGGATCAGGACAGTAGCCCATGGGGTGGGAGCCCTCTCACTGACTCCGCTTCTCCTCAGCTATTGGAGCAGAATGAAAGCATGGATGCGTCCTGCGTCTACCGCCAGTTCCCGGAGCCACGCTCGCTTTGCTATAGTCTGCCTCTTTCTGAGGAGCACCATGCCTCTGCTGACCACCAGAGCCACACCCATTCACAGGCCTGCGAGCGGGGGCGCTGTGAGGCTGGCCGGTACTTCTTGGGTACTCCTCAGGCCGGGCGAGAGGCGTGGTGGGGTGCAGCCCGCTCAGTCCTACCTCTACCCAAATCTCCACCTGAGAATGGAGATGGGTATGAGGGTGTGATGCCTCATATCACATCCATCCACAGCCTGCATGGTGAGTCTCTCTTTAAGTCAGAGTGAGTCTAAGGGTTTTGGTTCCTTTTTGGCTATATTCACATGACAAATTCAATTCTGTTCTCATCATGGTCATAAAGCCACATATAAGATACCTGTCCAATCTATGACTACATCTGATAGTTGCTCCAGTGTGATGTAATAAGATCAGATTTTTTGTTTTCACGCAATTTGGAAAAAATCAGATCTGTGTCATATTTATCAGATTTGTAGTCTCACAAATCAGACTTCTATTATCAGAGAGTCTGGTAGGTTTCATGTCCAAAACCACCTTTATATACTTTCATGTCCCCTTCAGTCACTCTCTCTGAGAATTAATTATTGTTTTGAACCCCCCCTCTATATGTGAAGAAAAATGGTAATGAGGCATGAAATTTTGCTGCTGCATAAAAAATCTCTTTTACTTACAAAGTAGAATAAGTATACAAAGGTGTATCAAGCCTGTTCAAACTATTTACAATAGTCAATTGCTTTTTTATGTTTTGTTTTTTCACTGGAAGGTAATAATATGCAATAATATAATTACTTTTGTGCTATTTATAGATGTAACACAAAGCCAAGATCTTTAAAATGGTTTCAAGTTAACTAAATAATTATAATGTCTTTAAAGGGGAATTCCCAAATTTTTAGTTAGTCAGTATATACCACTCATAGGCTTCTACAGTTTATCAAATAAAATGGCAAAAGTGCATTCAGAAATTTCACTATACCACTAATGTTGCAAAACAACACTCACCAACAGTTGTGCTGTTCTTTCCACTTTATGATAAAAACTAATAAAGGACAGAACCCTTAAAACTCACTGCTCTGTACTGGACTAACCAGTAGACAGAATTGCATACACACAGCAGTGTAGACCATCAATCAAGGTGTAACTGACAAAATTCCAATAGTTGTGGCCATTTTAGTGTACAAAACATGTGCCTCCTCAATCCTGTGAAAGTAGCTTTTGACACAGAGATAATGGTTCTTTCTCCTGCTTGCAGTGAGGGGCCACTGGGATGAGGACAGTGCAGTCAGCTCACCAGATGGTGGCTCGGCTAGTGACTCAGGGGACCGGTACCGAGGGGACCACTTCCGCTCGAGTCCTCAGGAGCCCAGCAAGATTGAGACACTGATCCGGGCTACGCAGCAGATGATAAAAGAAGAAGAAAACCGACTACAGCTGAGGAAGGGCAACACTGAGCCACTGGGCCCTGCGAACGGCCTAGCTAAGAGTCACGGCTCCTGCTTCAGCACAGAGTTCCCCCAGGCGGCCCTGCAGGGCTCCGTGTGTCGGGGGCCGGCTCAGGTGATCAGCCCTGCGCCTAGTCCTGCCCCTCTGTCCCGCCTCAGCAGCCCTGGTTCTGAGCGGCTGGCCAAAGCCAAAGACTTTTTGCAGACTGAGCTGTCATCTCCACAGCAGCACAGCACCAGCTAGCCCTAACTGGCTCTTGCACCACGTCCCCCACCCCAGCACTCTACCCCTCTCACCCCCGCCAGTACCTGGACAAACATGCAGCCTATTCCCTCACAGGCTACACACTGGAGCACCTCTATGAGTCAGACAGCTTCAGAGGCTACTCACTGGGCTGCGCAGGCTCCTCACACTATGAAATGGCCTCTCACTTGCGCATGCAAGCCGAACAGCCGCCCAGCCATAAAGGAACCTCCGTCATCATCTCCAACGGCAGCTGACGCTTAGCAACACACTCTCCGTGACTGGGCTTGTCCCCACTGTTTTTTTCCCCAAAGGGACTAAACACAAACTTGTTTTTTTCTTTGTTTGTTTGTCTGTTTTGAGAGCTTTTATGTTCCTATTTGCATTGCTGTAGATGAATTCTAGATTTCAGTATTAAGGGATATCAAGGGAACTTCATTCATGCATTTAAAAGGCAGTTCAGATGAACTTCAAATATTTTAAATAGTCAATATTTTACACTGCATAACCACTATTTTACAAGCGAAGCGGAAACAATGTGGTTATTTTTTCTTTTTTTTCTTTTTTTAATGCCACAAATTATACACAATCTGGTAGAGGAAGGAACTGGTCAGAGTAATTAGCTTAACTTTTTCCAAATACCCGTGTCTGGGGAAAAGACAAACCCATAATTAAAATGTTAATATGTTATTACATTGAATGTGAGTTGACAAAAATTTCAGTGCATTTACCATGTCTTTACAATCAGCATTGCTGCTTTCATCTTGCCCGTACATGAAGAAGAGAATGAATGACCTGATTGTCTCAAAGAATCATAATGATTTAAGTCACATTTGCCACTTTTTGACAAATGTGACAAATTTCCTTTGTATTATGCTTTTGAGTACTGCCATTTTAAAGCCTTCATGTCTTCTTCAGTCTTTCTCCCTGACAAATAATCATTGTCTTGAATTTAACCCCCCTTCAAGGTATGAAGGAGAATGAATAAGACATTAAATTTTACTGCTGCATAAACAAACATCTTTTTGCCTGAAAAGAAGCATAAATATACAAAGGAGTATCAAATATGTTCAAACTGTAGGCAATTGCTTTTTGATAATTTTGTTTTTTTTTTCTATCATGAGTTTAACTGGAAGGTTGTAATAATATCATTACTTTGCTATAATTATAGATGTAACACTAGGCCAAGATTTTCCAAACTGTTTAGTTAAAGATGCTAGATAATGACTTTAAAGAAGAATTCTATTTTTTTCCCCAAAAATTATTTTTAGCCAAAAATTACCACTCATGGGCTTCTATAGGTTATGAAATGAGACCATAAAAGGAATTTTTATATGTAAAAGGGAAAAATAGAAATTGCAATGCACCACTAATGCTGCAAAACAATGTTCACCTATAGATGTGCTATTCTTTCTACTTTATGGTAAGACCTGATAAACAACAAAATACTTAGAACCCACCCTGGTCTATTTCACTGTTCTGTGCTCAGTTCAGTGTGGTGGGTAGTGATGTGTTTCTATACATCATTATTTTTCACTGCATTTGAGCATGTCAACTGTAGTCTCTTCACTGTCACGCACTGGAACACCAGTAACTGAAGCTACTATGACTAATAGAAAAATGAAAATACTCTTTATAATTGGCACAATAGCCCAAAGGTGTGATGTTCTTTGAATATTGAATTTTTGCAGTTTTTATGCTCATAATTGTACAAAACCATTTTGACCCTGTGTGTAGTTCTGTGCCCTGTGGAAGCGTATGAGTGGTAATTGTATGTTAGATTCACACATTGTGTAGGGTGTTAAAACTAGTATCAGAAAACTGGATTTTTTTCTTCCTTTTCAAATGTTTCACAGCATTACCCGAAACCAAGCCAACCCAACCTAAATCACTCTCTGGAAATTCAGCTCTGAAGCTACAGTTTGCGTTTGACCGTTTTTAGCAGGGCAACAAAGATTATGCAATTGTAAAGACCTCTTTTTCTTTTATTTCACCCTCGTGGCGTGATGGGGGAGATGATGTAGGCACTCCTGCTGTTCAGTGAGTTATGAAGTGGCTGCAGGTTGTAGCTGATGAGGCCGGATGTGAGGATCAGTCTGCTGTGCTGGAGTGAATGAGCATGGAGTGATGAAGGACAGAAGGACAGAAGGACTCGGGTGGAGGAGTTGCAGTATGCGTGCTGCTGGGAGACGTGTTAGGGAGCCAAGGGGATGCGAGACTGATACAGATGGACGATTATAGGGGAATACTCTGAGGTTCCCCTGCTCTCGGCCTGCCGGGTGGGAGAAACTGGCTCACTTTTTTTGTTTGTTCGTTTGTTTTTTTGTTTTTTTTCCACAGCAAGAGAAATCCTTCTCTAAATTTATTTATAATGTAAATACGCTCAAATATGTTTTGATGCACAAGTGGCAAATGTATTTATTATGTGAATGAAAAAAAAAAGGTTTTCATTTTGGTTTTAAATATAGTTCCAATTAAACCAGTGTGTCTTCTTTAATTCTCTTATTTTTTAAATCACTATAACATAGTTATTATATTGTAATTACAACAACAATTTTCAAATATATATTAATACTTTTGTACAATGCTTATTAGTAGGTTTATTTGATTTATTGATTGCACTTTTGAAAAAGAGGAATTAGGACAAAGGAATTAGGGTAGTGATAGAGACATTTTAGTCAGTCCTTCCAGCTGAATGAGAGAAACATGCAGACATGTTCAGTAAAGTTGCTTTTCCTAAGCTGTGTGACTGCACTTTAAAAGATCTCACAACTGTTTAAATAAAAAATCATAAAGACAAACACCAAAATAAAACATTATTGTAACTAATTAGAGCTTCAATTTGAGCTCTTTATATATATATATATATATATATATAATATATATATATATATATATATATATATATATATATAAAGAGCACAAGCAAGAAAGTATGAAAGTCAGCTTTTTATGAAAAAATCATGAATATTCAAAATACCAATACAGTATTACAACATACACACTTTATGGGTCATTTTGCATTGTATAATTGCAGTTGATAATTTTGTAAATATGTGGCCTACAGCAATACACTGATGCACTTGTAACTTGTGCAAGATACCAACACTAGGAAACCACTTCACTTTGGTAAATTAATCCTTACCCTTCAAATCTGTAACAAATCACTGCAAGAAAAAAAGAAAAGTAAAAACATGATGTATGAATGTTGTCAAAACACTGCCAATAAGCAACCAATAATTGCTTGTCATTGTAGATTATCAGCACCAGTGTTATAGCTATATTTCAAATTATTTAAAAGAAATAGTGGAAAATTAATTTGGAAATAGATTGTATCCCCCCCCCCCTCTAAATCTAAATAGCTAGTAAATAGTTTTTCCATCAGTGAAAATAGAACTTTAGAGAAAATAGAAACTTCTGCTCCCTAAAAAAACAATGCCTCAAACTGGAAATGATATATATATTTTCGCTCTAATCATTTTTTGGCAAACAATTTGAAAAGATTCAGAGCCGTCCATTTCAGCTGGAAGCCTGATAAATGTCCCCTGGTTATGTGTGGCTGCTTTTTCAAATAAAGGAGCAGATGAAAATCGATACAGAAGGATCTCCAATTAGGCTCAACTAAACTGGGGATCAGAGAGGTCAACAAAGAGGGGTGGCTTTTCTTCTGTCCACTGATAGATGTTTACTGTTTGCTGTAGTGATTTTTGCCAACCCCGATGACATGAATCTACACTCCTCCAGAGCACCTATTACAAGGACGTTTTTGAGGGAAAACCTTTCAAAAAGCAGCCTGAACAGTTATTGTCGAATGTCATCCATTGTGGCCTGTATGCTTTTTGCTCCATATTTCATGTGTAATGTGAAAGAAGCAAAGGTAACCTGTGCTGTCCTGACAGATGTGTTGCCAGGCAACTGCAAGTAACACAGACAACATTAACACACACCTCTGACCCGTCTCCTCTCACAGCTGGTGGAGCCGGAGCCTCCTTCTGGTCTCTCCCCTTTCAGTCTACATCTCATTCGTTTTCACATGTATCGCATTTATTGCCAATTCGAAAAAGGTGCGCTTTGGTAAAAATAGCCAATGCTTTGTGTTTGTCTCATTATCATTTTACTCCACCAGTGACTGTGAGATCTGCTGTGTTTTGTACATCATGACATGCTTAAGCTGTAGTATATTGTAAGGTATCATGGCAGAGTATATGCGCTTTATCTGTATAGATAAACGTATAAAGCAATGCACATAACTTTACTGCTCATGTGCTGAACTCATTCTTTGCATGATTTAGCCCCTCATGGACCACATAAGTCCCGTGTTATATAATGCATAGCATATTGAGACCCAGTCATTCAACAACAGCTGCTATGAGTGTTGTAAGAACAGGAAATCTGAATGTGAGCTCACTAGAGAACCTGGATTAATAACACTTCAAATGTGGGCAATGTGTTAGGTTTTGACTCAGGTCTGTAATGTTAGTGGCAGGTCATGTTTGGGATGCACATTATATTATCAGCTGTATTTAGAAATCCCCTTTGTTGCAAATATGACTGAAAATAAATGGGCAGGAAAATGTTTTAATATGGATGAAAAGTGCCAGGTTTGTCACCAGTATAGCATGAATGAAAGTGGGGACCAAGGATGAATTATTTAACATGAGCTATATAAAGGGGACTGAATTTTGAGACTTGGTGTCATAGTGTTGTTGAAAAGCAGGCAATGTCTCGATGGCTGCTGAACAATGTCTGGGGGAAAGGTCGTTTTCATGTTTGTAAGTTTTGGGCTGAGCTGCTGCCGCTGGCTGAGTGATTTTTGGCTGTTAGCTACAACAGCGATGTGATTACATTTGACAAGTCTTGCACCATATGCACTAGAATTTATTCCTGTAGAAGAGGAAATTTGTCTCTGGGTCTTTGCCAGGAACACTATTGGAATATCTAGTATTCGTGTCGGACTGCTGGCTTTGGCCACTGGCATCTGGTAAAATGAAAAAAAAGCAGCTTTTCTTCAAAGTTGAATGTGTTTTTTGTTTTTGTTTTGCTCGTACGTAAATGTATTCACACATTAACATAAATACCTATGAGCTCTCCAAGATCTGAATGTTGTTCCCGCTCCTCTATCCAAGAAGCCCAGTTTCAAGAAATGAAACCCAGTTACAGTACACTTCCTCCATTCAATGGCTGGCCGCTATCTATGCTCATTCAGCGTTCTGACTGAATGAATCAGGAGATTGTAATCTCAGAAAAATAGCCCATGAGAGGAAATGGGCGCAATTGTAACCTGTTCCCATCCCGTGTGGATGGGCAAGGCAGCAGTGCGGATCAGCGGGGCGTTAAGGCTCTCACCGGCAGAGCTGCAGCCCTTTCCTCTCTCTCACCTTTGCTTGAAGAGCATATGAATCCCTCTCCACATTCAGCCATCCATGACACAATCCTGTAATCATTCACAGAGCTGCTTTAATGGGGAAACCTTTACAGCGTCGCCAAAAACCCACCCAGGCCAGCAGGGATACCTCTCTTTACCCTCCTACCTATCCTTATTTGCCTTTTGCTTCATAAGAGGTTGATGCTTAATAACAATCAATTGAGGATCGTTTTGGGCAAATATAAATATAAAACATATTTTAATGTAATATATTAAATTGTTGAGATATGTGGAAAGAGAGCAAATATGAAGGCAAATGTTAGAGAAAGAAAATTGTTTTAAATTTTGGTGGTAAAATATTGTATATTGACATGTATATATATTTTGAATAGGTGGAAATATATTGTCTTCCATATGACAAGACCTCACATACATTGCACATATATTTTGGGTATGAGAAAGTATACACATATGAGAAGACATATATTTATTTTTCTTCAGGGTCAGAAGAACCAAATATTTTGATATGGGCAAGTATATGTGGGAAGAGATCACAAATGTTGACATGAAAATATTTATGCATATTTTTGTCTTTTCTACTAGAAAATATCACATATGTTGACATTTGACATTTGACAAATGTGTGTGTGTGTCTGTGTGTATGTGTGTGTGTGTGTGTGTGTGTGTGTGATATGTACTATATGTAATTTATATGTATAACATTTTAAAGTCAGCAAATAAATAGAAACTGTGCACTTTTGGAGAAAAATGCCATATTAAAGTTCTGCAATTTTTTTTCTTTAGGAA